GTTAAATAGTAAAGATGTCGCCTTGAGGACTAAGGTGTACCTGACCCAAGCCAGGGTATTTTCAATTGCCTCATAAGCGTGCAAAAGCTGGACAATAAATAAAGAAGATAGAAGAAGAATTGATGCCTTTGAATTACAGTGTTGGTAAAGAATACTGAATATACCATGGACTGCCAGCAGAGTGAACAAATCTGTCTTGGAAGTAGTACAGCCAGAATGCTCCTTAGAAGCAAGGATGATGAGACTTTGTCTCACGTACTTTGGACACATTATCAGGAGGGACCAGTCCCTGGACAAGGACATCATGTTGGTAAAGCAGTGGGTCAGAAAAAAAAAGAAAGACCCTCAAAGAGATGGATTGACACAGTGGCTGCAACAATGGGCTCAAACATAGCAATGATTGTAAGGATGGTGCAGGACTGGGCAATGCTTCATTCTGTTGTACATAGGGTCACTATGATTTGGAACCAACTAGATGGCACCTAACAACAACACTAACCTAAACATAGGTTATTTGAACCCACCCTGAAGTGCTAAGAAAGTCCAGGTGATCTACTGTAAAGATTACAGCCAAGAACTAGAGCACAGTTCTACTCTGACACATATGGGGTTACCGTGAGTCTGAATCAACTATACTGCATTTTTTTTTTTTTTAATTCATCGTGTATTTTTAGTTCCCTCTCTTTGGTCTTCACTGTAAGGAAGACGCTTCTTTCCTTCTTGCTAATCTTTGTACCTCCAATCTGTTGATCCTTTTCCCCACCATTACATAATTTGACCCATACCGCATACCGACTCCCTTTTAACAGAATCTACTGTTTCTCCCAATTTTTTTATTTGTGATCATGATTCTACCTTTATCTGACTAATGTTCTGAAATGTTCTCAGTCACTCGGATTCAGACTCTCAGATTTCTTGATTCCTTCCTCTTAATTGTGTTCACTTGTTGGCCAGTCCTGACATCCTAACAACTGACCCCTCTTTTCCATCACCAAGATCAACATCTTAGTAAAGTATTAATCTTCACTCTCTACTCTAAAGAGGGGATCACTCTTCACTCCAAATAATAATTATTTGGTAGCAGTCTTCACTAATAGCTTATTTTTCCCTTTTCTGATCCATGATATTCATTTCTGCTTAATCATAAAACAGTGAGTTAATGAACACTCCATCCCCTCCCCCACTCCCAATCCTTAGGTAACGCCATTAATTTATTCCTGCATTCATTTCTTTATTCAGTTTCTACCATGTGCCAAGCACTCCGCTAGTTATTGTTTATGAAATGGTGACTGGTGCAGGATAGTCCCTGGTGCTATGGAGATTAATCTATCAGGAGAGAAAAAAAAAAGAAATAACCGGACGTTAAAGACTTGCTTCTCTCCCTGGTTTTCAGTACTCTCCCCAATATGATCACACCATACAAACTTTTCTGCATGGTATTTTCTAAGCATGCCACACCATTCAGTTGCTATAGCGGCATGTGTATATCCAGTCTTGGGTCCAGCATGTTTAGAGGCCTAGCCTATAAAGTGCCCTGGAGTGTGTCTAGAATAATATCTGGAACATAGTAGATGTTTAACAATATTGATTGAAAGTCTGGGCAGTGGAGCTGGAGTAGAGCAAAGAAGGTGAGAGACAAGAAAGGGGGCCTAAGTGACAGGCCTCAGTGGCTGTGCTCTCTCTTTTCTTCAAACCTTCAAGACCACTATGTATTATATTCATTTTTATTCCCCTGAGGACTTTGTCCTTCATTTTCCTAGAAATAGAAGCTACTTAGAGCAAGGTAAACTCACAAAGTATATCAATAAGCACAAAGAATGACCTTGTGAATATATATTATTCGATGGATGTAAAACTTTAAAACAAAATTTTATTATTACCTTTGAAAGATGATATGCATAGCCCATTTTACCTCTTTTTTTCAGATGCAGAAATAACTAATGATAATTAGTTATAAACCTGAGGTTACAATAGTAAATCTTTGTTTGTTTGATGTTAGCCTTAAAGTATTTTATCACTTAGCATGACAACTTGTTTTATCTTAAGAATATAACTGGAATTATTATCAATCACTGTTTTTAGTATTCATCTGACTTTCACAATATATCTTTGTTTTTTTCTGTACATACTTCAAAAAGCTGTGTGTGGTGAGAATGTTGTGACTTTTAGTGGATCCTACTACTAGGTTCTGTGACTTTAGGCATAGAACAAACTCTTTGTGCCTCAATGTCATAGTCTTTAAATGGTATTTTTTTATTATTCTCATGCAATTCTGGAAGCACTCACTTGTCTATCCCAAGAAATTTGGAAGACAGCTACCTGGCCAGCTGACTAGAAGAGATCCATACATGTACCTATTCCAGAGAAAAGTTATCCAACAGAGTGCAGAAATTATTGAACAATATCATTAATATTACATGCAAGCAAAATTTTGCTGAAGGTAATTAAAAAATGGCTGCAGTAGTACATTGACAGAGAACTGCCAGAAATCCAGGCCTTATTCAGAAGAGGATGTGGAAGGAGGGATATCACTGCTGCTGTCAGATGGATCTTGGCTGAAAGCAGAGAATATCAGAAAGATGTTTACCTGTATTTTATTGACTATGCAAAG